TTATGTAGAGAGAGGGAGGGAGAGAAAGAAAGCCAGAGAAGAGAGATAATGGGAAATAGAAAGAAGGAGGGTGGAAAGCGATAGGGAGGGAGAGTAAAAGCAAGAGAGAGAGAGAGAGAGGCAAATGAAGAGAGAAGCGAGAAAGGGCAATAAAGTGAGAGGGAAGTAGAAGCAGAAAGCGAGAAGGAGGGAGAGAGAAAGAAAGCAATAAGATGAGAAAAAGTGACAGGAAGAGAGAGAAAGAAAGGTAAAGCGAAAGGGGGAGAGAGAAAGAAAAATGTAGCGAAAGGGGGAGAGAGAGAGAGAAAGATATAGCGAATTGGGGAGAGAGAGAGAAAGATAAAGCGAAAGGGGGGGAGAGAGAGAGAGAAAGATAAAGCGAAAGCGGGAGAGAGAGAGAAAGATAAAGCGAAAGCGAAAGCGGGAGAGAGAAAGATAAAGCGAAAGGGGAAGAGAGAGAGAAAGATAAAGCGAAAGCGGGAGAGAGAAAGATAAAGCGAAAGGGGGAGAGAGAAAGATAAAGGAAAGGGGAGAGAGAGAGAAAGATAAAGGAAAGGGGGAGAGAGAGAAAGATAAAGGAAAGGGAGAGAGAGAAAGATAAAGGAAAGGGGGGAGAGAGAGAGAAAGGGAAAGGAAAGGGGGGGAGAGAGAGAGAAAGATAAAGCGAAAGGGGAGAGAGAGAGAAAGGGAAAAGGAAAGATAAAGGGGGGAGAGAGAGAAAGATAAAGGAAAGGGGAGTGAGAGAGAAAGATAAAGGAAAGGGGGAGAGTGAGAGAGAAAGATAAAGGAAAGGGGGGGAGAGTGAGAGAGAAAGATAAAGCGAAAGGGGGAGAGAGTGAGAGAGAAAGATATAAAGGAAAGGGGGAGGGAGAGAGAAAGATATAGCGAAAGGGGGAGACAGAGAGAAAGATAAAGCGATGGAGAGAAATATAAAGCGAAATGGGGAGAGAGATAAATATTAACGAGAGGGAGGAGAGAGAGAAGGCAGGAGAGAGACAGAGAGGGTAGACGTTTTCTAGCAAGTTTATTTAGATGCATTTAATGCATCCTCTCGTGCATACACTCGAGATCTGATATATTTTCCTTTCACTTTTTCCTTCAGTTAAAGCAAAGAAGCAAATGCACATACATACACACACATACATACGAACACACATATCTATGCATATACATACATACATATATATGTGCATCTGTATAATAAATGCGAATGTCAGTGTGGAATACTTTTTCAACTTTACCCCAATGCCATTTTGGAATCAGGCCGACCCCGTGAGCAAATTAAAAACATTCCGAGACGGACCCGAACCCGCTATCCTGAAATTAAGGATTCCCAAGTTTTAATTACTTACGTGTTTTTTGCGACTAATTATTAATTATTTTTTATGCGATAACAATTTTTATAATTTGGAAATAAAATTGGGATTAATCGAAATCAACTGCGTGTTATACTGGAACACACCTATTCTATAGTTAATAGACTCTCTCACCTATAATAAGTAGTAGTAGTAGAAGTCGCTCAGTGAGTTGGTCAGTCAGTCGATGTTGGACGACCGTTAGTCGGATATTAAAGTATCAGCCACCCCAACTAGATTACTGCGTCATTACCTATTATATCAAGTTCCTAACGTTTTGTACGTCGAACCTTTTTAGGACCGACTTAGTGAAATACAAGCCTCCACTGTGAAACTACTCTACAACACTTTGGCGACGAGGGATTCGTACTCATAGGGAGGAAGAAAAAAAATTTCGTTCACTCTACAACACTGCGAAATCCAGCGAAAATCACTCATGAAATAAAAATAATTGTTTGTACGGAAAGTAATTATCGACGTAAATCAATTTGTCTTTAAATTAAGTGGCGACAAGAATTATCGTTGAACTTTTAAAAAGTAAGCTTAAATATAAATGTAATAGTTTATTGTTGCCTATCGCATCTACTCCTCCCTGAGGTTAACCAATCAGAAGACGTAGAACATTCAATCCGTCGTGTATAAAGGCGGCCATTTTATCTACTCTACCCGAAAGTCCAGTCCAGCTCGTCAGGCGAAGAGAAATAGAAGGACGAACTATGCTCTGCTACCTTTTACCAAAATATCCACTGCTAACGTGAACAACGCTTTCCTACTGTCTTCAAGATATTCACTGCTAACCTCTGGATTCTCTACTCAAGACGACCGTCATTATGAACAACGCTCCCTACCTATTGAGATGAAAGATCAGTCAAGAGCCCTCCGCAGGAGCATATATATATATATATATATATATATATGGGAAAATGTTTGACAAAGTGTAAAAAGTGTTCTTTGACGTGTTTCGTCCTTTAGAACATCATCGGTTTAAATTTGTTGTCGGCACACTAAACATGTGCAAGAATGAGGTATGCTGGGAATTCCAAAAAAAAAAAAAAAAAAATAGAATAAAAAATATCTATTTTTTTACCGAGCCGATTTCATTCAGATAATTTTTCTTTCCATCACATTTATTTGTTTGTAAATATACAACACTATGATGATATATATATATATATATATATATATATATATATATATATAATCATTGCGTGTATATGTTTATGACTTGCAATTCATTAAGACCGGGGAAAAAAAACTGCCACCCTGGACTAAAATTTAAAAAGAAAAAGTAATTGAAGAAGATAACCTGTTTTCCTGCCGACACCACACACGATGTTAAAGCTTTTAGCATCTGCTTCATATTGCCTGTACACTCGCAGTCCAGACGAAAGAGGAACAGTTGCGTCTAGATGTAAATCAATAGAATCCTTAAATTCCCGATGTGTTTTAATTTAATAAAGAACTTGCTAAGATTAACGCGCATTTTGGAGTAATGGATAGCGGTTCGGATTGAGAAATTGGAGAACCGATTTCGAATTCCACTCGAATCCATTATATTCACTTACGTGCTAATACCCTTGGGAAAGGTACAGATCCTCTTCTTCTCAAAAGCTATGGGTGAATAGCAGGACAGACCGGGTTCTATAGCCTTGGATGGCAAATCGTCTATCGCAGAAAGAAATGGCAGTCTTCTGCACGAAAAAATCTGCCTTGTCAGTCATGTATTTTGCATGGCGCATAACTGGATAATACTTAACGGAATTCAATGGCACTTTCTTAAAACGCAACACACACATTAAAAAATTAAAATTCGAGTCCCTTAAAAAATTAGATTCGTCTTCAACGAGGTTGGTTAAGCTCTCTGCCTTCGGACAGAGAGCATTCCCAAACGGGGCTATGCCGAAGAACAGATTCTCGTCTCGGATAAACACCTACGGGGAACTTTTTAAGCCACGGCCTCGGGGAATCCAACATTAAATTCAAAACATCTTTTCAGATGTGGCACAAGGCCGAATTTAATGTGGGGTTTCAGAGGCCGTAGGCTCAGCCAAAAATTCCCCTAGATCCCGTATAAAACGGAGTCGTATAGGAGTTTCCCGAGACGAGACTGCCCTTCGGTATAACCCCGTCTCGGGATGCTCTCTGCTCGGAGGCAGAGAGTTTAACCAACCCAGCTAAAGACGAATCTCCAACTGCAGACCGCACGTAGTATCTTCCAAGTGACCCACGCAGTCAGGTATGGCACAAGGCCGAATTTAATCTTGGGCTCCCGAGGCCGTAGGTCGTAGGCTTAGCCAAACGTTCCCTGTAGACCTCGTATAAAACGGGGTCGGGTAGGTGTTTATCCGAGACGAGAATCTGTTCTTCGGCATAGCCCCGCCTGGGAATGCTCACTGTCCGAAGGCAGAAAGCTTAAACAACCTAGCTGAAGACGAATCTCCAACTGCAGCCCCACATATACAGTATTCAATTATTATGGGAATGGGGGCATACCCATTATCGTCCGGAGTATGCTGCAAGAAGGATACTGAAAATTCCATGGATGGATCGAATAAGAAAGTCTTAAAGAAAATGGCAACAGAAAGAACACTTCTACTCAAAACCAGGAAAAGACAAGCTGAAGTTCTTTGGATACATGATGAGGAAGAACGGGTATATTGAGGGTAAGAAATATTGGGTAATGCAACGACCCAACTACCTAAGGAGCTTGTGTGAATTCATGGCGGAACGGGATTGGAAGCCTTAGCAAAGGGGGAAAAATTCTATGAGTCACAAAGGATAGGAAATTTTGGAGACCCATGAGGTGGGTGGTGTTGCGGGGGCGAGTAGGATGTCGCCCCCGCAAGGTTTTTATGTACGATAAATGTGAACAGCCAAGACAATGACGGGACAAAGGCAAAGGTTTTGGTTATGAACAAAAGTGTCGAATTTATTAACACGTTTACATCGACGAACGTAGCTGGTTCGGTCGAATGTAGTTGATCTGGTCCGGTAGTTTAGGATTGGTAGGCGAATGTAGCTGGTCTGGCCCGGTAGTTTAGCTGCGTTCGGCCGAATAGCGAAGACGGAGTCCCTAAACAGGGCCAAGGCAGGACAGTAATACGACTCCACAGGTCGGATCGACCGCGGAAACGGGATCGCGCCAAAGTGTATCACCAGGCGAAGACGGTGTCCCTAAACAGGGCCAAGGCAGAACAGTGATGCGACTTCACAGGGCAGATCGACCGCGGAGACGGGATCGCGCCAAAGTGTATCACCAGGCGAAGACGGTGTCCCTAAACAGGGCCAAGGCAGAACAGTGATGCGACTCCACAGGGCGGATCGACCGCGGAAACGGGATCGCGCCAGAGTGTATCACTAGGCGAAGCAGGTCAGAGAGGTGTTACACCTTCCAGGGCGGATCGACCGTGGAGACGGGATCGCGCCGAAGAGTAACACTCTCGACAACAGCACCGGCAGTTCACAAAGGCAGCGTACTACACTTTGATCCGGGCCGAGCAGCTAAGATTTATTTTGTAAAATTACAAAATTGTGGCACAAGGCCAAAAAGGGGGAGGGGGTAAGGCTGGTCTTCACTAACTATCTTATACCTAGCTAATTTGATTCACGACCCATTCAGACATTACAATTTGCTCATTCACCATAAGAACTCGTCCGTCATCAGTCAATCCTCCTTGCACCATAATACCACATCCACTCTAGGGAGACTTACAAAACGCGCCCCATGTCATAATGATCCTAACACATATGTACAAAAATTCTAAGATGAAAAAATGAGATGGGGGGGGGGATGAACCCAATAACAAACTAAAATATTAACATAAATGAAAATAAAACGTTAACTGATGTTAGTAGGGCCCTTCCAACCCTCAAAATGCAGGGAGACCACTGTATTCTGCCCATTGGAACAAAATCAAGCAGCTCTCTCGCTAAGGGAGTGGGAAAGGATGAAAAAAATCATACGGGCATGGGGAAGTATAAAGCTGACCCAGTCGAGATAGAAAGTGGGGATCAAAAAACAAACTGGGGAGGTTGGGAATCTCAGGCTGGATCATAACTAAAGATGTGGCCGGGGGCAGGCCGGGAACAACACTTACTCGCATTAACTAGGTACACCAAGGCTTGTCTAACCTAACCAAGGGAGGGCACCACAGGAAGCCACCCCGATGTAACGTAGGCTTGACCTAAAACAGAAAATCAAGGCTAGCCCCGTTCACACGAACCAAGCTCGCCTCAGTCACCCACCTTTCGCTGAAGACTGTCGAATGCAAGCGTTTTCTATCAGTTCTAATCTTCATCTTGAGCTGATGCTCAAAGAATCGGATCAGATCCTGATGAGAAAGACGGTTACCCGCAAGACTTCCTCCTCTCGCGTCGTCCATATCACCATTCGGGCCGTGGCTAGCAGCATGAGAAACACCATCCGTTTCACCCCGGAATACGGGGGCGACACATTGTCACACGCGTATGCGCGATCCATGGGCACAAGCTTTTCGGGAGCGAGACGAGCCGTCAGCTCGCCGACATGGTCCCATAAGGGGCGGACCCGGGGGCAATGGAAGAAGGCGTGCGAAGCCGTTTCCTCTAGACCAAGGCCGCACCGTTCACAGTCTGGCAAGTCCGCCAAACCCCATATGAAGGCCATGTCGTTGAGAGGCAGCCGATTCCGAGCCAGTCGCCAGG